AGAAAATCCGGGAACCAATCAAAACTTTATAGCACACGGGCTCTGATGTATACAGCTAATTTAACTTTATAGCACGATGATTACTTTATAGCACGTTCATTATGAAATTCACGATGAAGTGAAGAAGAATGATAAAGTACATAATAGTTTCATAAACCCAATTGTAAAATCCGATAAATAATTATCAGTCTTATACGTATATCTTTAAACATCTTAAACTTCTAGACATTCCAGAGGTTAGAAATTTGTTAGAAAACGCCATTCAAGTTTGACATCTTCAGTCAACCAATGAGAGATCGCGAAAATACGAGTCAGCTGCTTTTACACGATTAAACACTTCGCTTCAAATTCACAATTTTCTTTGTGGATTTTATACTTCCTCGATCGAGAAGGTTTAAACTTTCTGTAAAGAAATATACATACATTTGCTTTGATGGTTCAGCTAGTCTTATGAATTTTTTATGATCAAAATATATTTGTTGTACAATGTTAGAATTCCAAAAATCCAAAGTAAAGCACTGCTAAAACATCAAAACACATTTTTCTTCTAAATCTATAAAGATAAAATAAATGTTTTTCTAAAGGTGAAACTGCCAATAAGAAATATATAAACATTTAAAATAGTTGCATTTGATAAAAATGTTTTACTCTTGGATGCAAAATAACAACATTTATAAAACAGTTTTTAAAGTTGTTTAAAGGGACTGTATACGTAATTTAGATATACCATCCTTAGATAATTCACAACTCTACCCATAAAAGCTTTGTTTAGTCAGGTATGCATTAAATTTTTTTTTTACAAAACGAATTTGCGCATTTATTTCTTTTGATTTTTAAGCTAGAAAACAAACAAATCTGCGCAATATTGTTCGGATTAAGGTTTCAAGGTTACCATTGTGAATGGAGGTTCATTAAAAAATTCAATAACAGTCCCTTTAATACAATATCTTATCTTATTTCTTTGTTTTCAATTAAATTTTTTTGTTCACAATCCGTCATACGTTCTTCATTTTAGAAAATATCATAAAATAATTTGAAATATCTATAATCTAAGGTACTTACTGCAAACTAGACAGTCACTGGTAAGCTTAGTGACCTCGTGGCCCCTTAATTTAGATTTTGCGCACAATCATGGCGTTCGAGCAAATTTATCCTGTTGGATATAAAAAAATTCAAAACATTTTTGTTCTTCTCCAGAGCTGTTCAATGAGAGGAGATCAGAGCTAAAAACTTTAGAATGGTGGATATCGAGATTAATGCGTGATCCTCCCTTTTTCTTAATATCGAGACTAATCTAATCCTAAAAAGTTGTAAAAAATTCAACCAATCAGAGTCGCGTATATGAAGCCGATAAATTTGAAATTTTGCGCGCCATTTAAGATTATATACAGAAATGGGAGGGACTCTCTAATTTAAAAAAACCGGTTTTTGATTTTTCTCTACTATATCCGAGAAAGAACGGCTTAAAAAGAAAATCAAAAATGTGTCCATTGGATACTGAGATTAAGTAATCGGGATTAAGGATATCTCATTCTAAAATTTTCAGCTCCGATTGAAAACTTATCGACAGATTTTAATCTTACGTCCAATATACTTTAGTTTGACGTATACTTTATTAATAATGACACATTAATGAGAAAAGGAAGTTGTAAGATCCATCGGTATTTTTTCACGGATTTAGCACTGAATCTATTTAGATTAGTAATTCCACACACACACTCAAAGTTACGGCCTCTAATATTTTAGAGTGAATTAAAATTTTTCAACAATTCGGAATTACAAATCGAATTTGATAAATGTCAATATGTAGTTGAATTAATTACGTATAGTTAAACTACGTGTCTATCACCGAAAGAATAATCGAAAATTAGTTTAAAAATATATTCCTAGTTCCACTACTTTTAGGAATTCCTTAAATTTCATTCCATCACGAAATTCTTCCTTTTTTTGTTGAACTTTCAAGATTTACGAGATTATATATACTATATACTGGAATCCATGCATACATACATAAATCTTAATACATTCTAAACAACAGTTTTATCCTTAATATTTAATTAAAAACTTCATGTTAAGGTTTAACAAGACATTGATTGTTACAAAATAAAAGATTTAAGTTTAAAGACTTGCTTGCTACATGCATAATTCCAGGAAAAAAAACTATATTCTTTTAGAAAAACTTAATATTTGAACTAACGAAATGAAGTTGAGAAAGGAAATGAGTTTTTACCACAAACTCTAATTATGAATTCTCTTAGATTAAATAGTTTAAATATTATGGGTTTACACCATCAGGTTGCAAAGATACTGGGATTAGAAATCACTAATATATTATTTTAAATCCATATTACGCACAATATTTTGGGTTTGACCAAACACTGTAATTTTAGTCGATATGTTTTTCTAGAAATAATCTTTCGAGCAATTATATCTGCAGAGTTAAACTCCTACCTATTCGTTTAAGTTAAAACATTGTTGAAATACTGTTGCATTTTTCCATTCGAATAATTGATAAAAGATTAGAACTTTAACTCAATGCAAAAAGTTTTAAATATCTAGATCTAGAAATCTAAAAAAGTTATACATCAATTATGAAGGCGTCTTGGACTTTGGTTTTTGCGTGTTTATACATTATGTAGACCTAGACATGTGCACTTTTGATCTACAGCTCTTTGTTTCTGGCTACTAGCTAGTAAACATCTGATAGACAGTGTCATCGTCATTGCTTTGTTTCTGAGAATGAAATAATTCAAATCAAAATCAATTTTTTTTTTTATAAATGACTAAAATAGATCAAATCCAGGTCAGATCGAATAGATCAAAATTTGTTAATATTTCTTTAGTGAGAACAAGTTTTAATAAAAAAATTCATTTCCTGGAGGAATTAAGTCTATATGCCACAAACCTGATTTTCTAATTAATATATATCTTTGCAACCTGATGGTAGAAGATTATTTGAATTCATAGTTTGAAATATGTCTACAACATTTGGTTGTAAAGAAATTGGGATTAGAAAGTAAAAGTTTGTGGCAAAGACTTAATTCCTTGAAAAAACTGAAAACTGTATAATCTGCTCTGCATATTTTACAGTTGCTATTGAACTTTGATTTATTGTGATATAAATATCTTTTAAGAATATTTTATTATACCGGTTTCTTTTGGAGATTTACAAAATTTTATCATAATTAATTTGCTTCTTAAATCATAGGATGGCATGCTATAAATCAATTTGAAGCGAGATAAGAATAAGTCTAAAAATATTTTTAAAAATTGTAGGAATAATCCTAATATCTTAGTACCCAATAATGTCGTAGACCTTTGATATTTCTAACCATGATTTCTGCAAGATCAAATAGTCTAATTTTGACTTGGCAAAGTTTTCGCCCATCTGGGGCCAGATTTTGTGAATCACGTCTGAGCGCACTCTTCACTAAATATCACTATTTCTTCGGTCAGAGTTATTCAAATCACTTGAGGGTGAACGGTTCTGATTGCAAAGATAAAGGGATTAAAAAATTATATAGTTTCGTATTATGCATTAATCACTTTTTAGAAGAAAAGTTTTTAAAAGATATTGAAAACAAAAATAAAATCAGTGTAACTGTAATGGGATTAATAATTTTATTGAGACTCACTCATTTGGTCAAAAGCTCCATTAAAACTCTAATTTGTTCCTAGAACAATTAGGAAATAGCTCAGTAATTATTTTAAATGTAGTTTTTTCCTACAATTTCTTTTACTAAATCATGAATATATTAAAACAATAGTTAGAATAATAGAATAGAATAATAAATGGAATGTTTTGATATATGAAGTTTAGCATATATTATTTTTTTAAATAATTTTATTTCTATCAGAAGTGCATAAAATTTAACAAATTAAAAATAGTAAATAATTTTAATTGGTTATTATGGAGTATGAGATTTTATTAAATGTAGTAGAATGAATTGAAATGTATTGAAATCAAAGTTAAATGTATTCAAATGAATTGAAATGTATTGAAATCAAAGTTAAATGTATTCAAATGAATTGAAATGTATTGAAATCAAAGTGAAATGTATACAAATGAATTGAAATGTTTTAAAATCAAAGTTAAATGTATTTAAATGAATTGAAATGTATTGAAATCAAAGTTAAATATATTCAAATGAATTGAAATGTATCGAAATCAAAGTTAAATGTATTTAAATGAATTGAAATGTATTGAAATCAAAGTTAAATGTATTCACATGAATTGAATTGTATTGAAATCAAAGTTAAATGTATTCACATGAATTGAAATGTATTAAAATCAAAGTTAAATGTATTCACATGAATTGAAATGTATTAAAATCAAAGTTAAATGTTTTCAAATGAATTGAAATGTATTAAAATCAAAGTTAAATGTATTAAATTAAAATTAAATGTATCAAAATTAAAATGTTTTGAATTTAAACCGATTAACTTTATATTCCCCGCCTTCTATCACCTTGAGGAATCCAAGTTACACATTTAAAGCATGCAATGTGAGTGTCAACTCTGTCAACTCAATTACTTTTCGACCAAATCTAATGAAAATCGCATAGTGTATACATATTTTAAACTAAATCATATATAATCTTTCATACAGAAGCCAGCTTGGAAACTCAGCTTTCCCAGAAATTTTCCTTATAAAAGTCAACCTATATCCAACTGAGTACTTTTCAAAACTAAGCTAAGAACATTTCTGCGTTCCTAGTTCCACAATCAATATTTGAGAAAAATTAGTCAAATTGGTCCCAAGTTTTATCGGACACACAGACAAACAAACAAACAGACAAACAGAGATTACTACTTTATTTATATAGATATATAGATAGACACATAAACATTACACATACTCGTAAGCAAATTCGATTTTTGTTCTGCCATTTGAAAAGATAGGATGGAAAGATAAAAATCATGTTGAAAAGTTCTTATCTTTGAAATGAACTAATTAAAGCAAAGACGACAATAATTAAAAACTAATTTATTTCAGAAAACAAAATGTATTTTCACAAGGAAGTCTTTCTTTAAAAACCCCGGTTGCAGGTAGAAATCTATTTAATCAAAATTAAAATTAATTCCTTTGTGATTTGTGACAAAATAAATACATTGTAGATTAATTGCCGTTATTGAGACAAGTAAATTTTAAAAAGAATAGTTTCCATTATTGTAAATATTTTAATATAAAGTAAATTTTAAAAAGAATAGTTGCCAATCTTTAACTATTGGGTCATTTTAAATAAATGCGACATTCCCTTTAGATTGCCGATAGTCAACGTATTCTGAATCTGTTTGCGAAAAATAAAAAAGACCAAGCTGTACAGCTAAACATCGGATAGAAATAAATAGTAAAAATCGAATATGAATAATAATATTCTCAATTTTATTAAAGTAGTATTAGTATTTAATATTCCTTGATAAATCTGAATTTAAAATCTCCTTGATCTGGAAATATTTTAGAATGGAGAATTCAACACAGGTTTTTCACAACTTTGAAGCTAGTTCAAACAGGTTTGTAGATTCTCATAAATGCAGATATAATTGCTAGAAATTTGAATAATAGAAAAAAAAGTTAACGCAAGAAAAAAAGGGTATTTTCATTTATTTTTACCACCGAGTCCACGTCTCAGTTTAATTCCTGAAAACTAATTACCGCATAGTGTCCAGGAACTCCGCTTCTTGTACCCAGATTTCGAGCAATTATATATGCAGCTGTTCATTTAAATATTTAAAAAAAACTCGTAATTTTTAAAAAAAATTATTAACAGAATTCTAGAGATATCTTGCACAGTTTTACATTTTTGAAATGTCCAATGAGCATGAGAGCACAGCTCGATTGTGCAGTGTAAACAGACCCATTTTACTGAATTAGTTATTTAATAAGAGTCTAGTAAAACTATTTGCTTTAAAACAGCATCAAATACACTTAAGTATTGTTAAAATGTCGGTTTTCTATTCCATAAAGTTCTGGTTATCACTGAGTGTACAATGTATGTATGTACTGAAGTTAATGAATAATTTGAGGCAGAGTTTAAAGAAAGTTGTGAACACAAAAGAGTAAGATAGGATGTATTTATATATTATACAATACATGTATATTTATCGCTTGAATTCATGCCAAAAATTCCCTGCTTTACATTCTATAAACTCTTTTCTCAGCTTATCTCAAAGCACAGAGGAAGTCCCAAAAACGCAAGATGCGATTTTACATGATTCGGTTTCTAAAGATTTAATAAGTAATATATTACCTAGCTTGGTTTATTCTGGTTAATAATGGTTTGGACTGGTTTATTCTGGTTTATCTGGTTTATTCTGGTTTATACTGGTTTATACTGGTTAATTCTGGTTTATACTAGTTTATTCTGGTTTATTCTGGTTTATACTGGTTTATACTGGTTTATTCTGGTTTTAAATGGTTTACTCTTGTTTATAATGGTTTATATTGGTTTAGTCTGGTTTATTCTGGTTTATAATGGTTTATACTGGTTTATTCTGGTTTATTCTGGTTTATACTGGTTTATAATGGTTTATAATGGTTTATAATGGTTTATACTGGTTATACTGGTTTATAATGGTTTATACTGGTTTATAATGGTTTATACTGGTTTAGACTGGTTTATAATGGTTTATACTGGTTTATACTGGTTTATTCTGGTTTATTCTGGCTTTTACTGGTTTATAATGGTTTATACTGGTTTATACTGGTTTATAATGGTTTATACTGGTTGATACTGGTTTTCTGGTTTAGACTGGATTTTTATAGGGTTCATGCTCAGCTCTTGTAACGAAGTAAAGCTCAGCTTATTACTCTTCAAGATACAATCCTATTTTACTTACTTTGTTAAATTCTATTATTCTGTGGTCTTTATTTTCTTTCATTTCTTTTTTTAAGAAGAATTGTTTTAAAATGTTCTTTGGATAGTTTTACTCATTAAGCTATGATGATCAAACTTAATTGTAAATTTCAATTTTTCATGTTTTTGTATTTTGTATGATGGAGTTCAAGTCTTTAAAATTGAATGCCACTTTTCATAGCCTTCTGTATTTCTGGGATGAATAAATTACTCTAGTAGACTGCAAATATATAGACGGAAATTTAAGTAGTGCAATTCTGCGGAGTGATTAGACCGATAAGAAATTCAACAGCTAGAGGGAGTTGAAATAGTTTCAAACAGCTGATTTCTTAATCTTTCTAGTACTTTTTCAAATTCAAATTACTTAAGCCTTGTAGTAAATTCCGCACTCTTAAAACTTCGTCCCAAACTGTATCAGTCCAGGGACAACCCATCCGCTATAAAAAGTCAAACAGGACAAGATCCACATGGCTACAATCCCGCGAACCACTACCCCTGGGCGCGATCTTGTTGGCTATCAGTGTCCAAACAGACACTAGCTTTGAATCAAGCTCTAGATGCAACACAGGGAAAACAAGCTATTAATCAAGCTTTAAATAACACAGGGACACAAGCTTAGCTATCAAACAAGCTATAAATCGAGCTCTAAATGTCACACAGGGACACAAGTGTATCTATCAAACAAGCTATTAATCGAGCTCTTAGTCAAATGTGTTAGACACAATCTCAGCCTGAATGTTTCAACGAGGATGCAATTACTGTACACTGTAATTAAAGTGGAGTTTCTATATTAACTGATGTATTTAAGGTTTATATGTTACAAGCTAAAGTTAATAGACGTAATTACAATTCCTACGTCGTTATATATATCACATGATTAAGACAATCATGTTAAGTATTTACAATGTCCGTATCTATAAGATTAGCGAGGATAGATAGTACATAGTTAAGCGAGGATAGATATAACGTAGTTAAGCTATCTCCACACATGTTTACAGCGTAGTTTAAGTTGAATGTACGTATTTAAAGGATTAACATGGATAAATATATTTGTAGTTAATCTAATCACAATGCATGTTTTAATCATATTGCGTAGCTCACGTTTAATATATCTAGATATGTTCAGGTTAACAAATATGGGGATTTCTGTATTTGTTACAGAATAGATAGTTAATAATGTACAGCATACTAATATCATGTGGTCCGATATTTATTACAGCCTTATCAGCCTCCTTGATATATCATATATCCATATATGATATATGATATATAATGGATCACAGGCAGCCGTAGTACATTTGAATTTCCCAGTCGGGTCAACTTTTCTGGTCCCAGTTTGTACTGAACCTAGCTCTATGGACAGGACTGCCGGCGTAACAATGTTGACGTGGTCAGACTTTATGCTTCATATAGGTTGAATTTGTTTTTACTAAAGGGGCAGAGGTGCATGGGATAGCAGTCTGGAAGTTCTGGGACGAGATTTAATTAATAGCGAGACAAAGTTAAACCACATCTCTTCAGCTTGATCCGGCGTACAAATAAACGACGTTCATGCAGTTAAAATATTTCTGGTCTCTGCTGGTCTAATCTGGTCTCTGCTAAACTAAATTCGTATCAGCCCCCCCCCCCCCCGAATGTAATGCAAGGAAAGTTAGCGTATACTCTGCGTACATATTGAAACCAGTTCTCTCTGGGCGGAATTTGTAAACAAGAATAGATGCATCAGTGTTCGTTTAGTATCCGAGGAGGTTAAAAGCATTGAATTTTGATAATTTTGATAATTCACATAATAGTTTCCTATGACCAGAATATTTCATTGTTAATTTAGTGAAAGATGGATCCCATGCATCACAGGCTTTGACATCCGTCTTGTGTTTACATTACCGCCCAGTGACAGTACAATGCAGTACAAAAGATGCGTACACCTCTGAAATAACTTTCCTTGTATTAAATCCTTGCCCCCCCTCCCCCTATATCTCATACTGTACCTGGACGCTTTCTACATTTCCCGGAGAAGCCGCTTACCAAAGATAAAAAATTCTTCCCAATATTGGACCAGTTTCTTTTGAACCCGCCTCTTCTTAAGAAAAGTTAGTTTTGTGCAGAAAGTTTGAATCCGGTTCATATCTGTCAAACACCTTTCTTCAGTCCAACTTCTGATTATTAGTTTTCATGAGTTTAAGGTTTGGAGCTGTGAAACCACTGTCTCACGCTAGACTAACAGGAACTGGGAAACCACTACTCATACTAGACTAACAGGAACTGTGAAACCACTACTCTCGCTAGACTAACAGGAACTGGGAAACCACTACTCACGCTAGACTAACAGGAACTCTTGANCGCTAGAATAACAGGAACTGTGAAACCATTACTCATGCTAGACTAACAGGAACTGTGAAACCACTACTCATACTAGACTAACAGGAACTGTGAAACCACTACTCTCGCTAGACTAACAGGAACTGGGAAACCACTACTCACGCTAGACTAACAGGAACTGTGAAACCATTACTAATGCTAGACTAACAGGAACTGTGAAACCACTACTCATGCTAGACTAACAGGAACTGGGAAACCACTGTCTCACGCTAGACTAATAAGGAACTGGGAAACCACTACTCACGCTAGACTAACAGGAACTGTGAAAACACTACTCAGGCTAGACTAACAGGAACTGGGAAACCACTGTCTCACGCTAGACTAACAGGAATTGGGAAACCACTACTCACGCTAGACTAACAGGAACTGTGAAAACACTACTCATGCTAGACTAACAGGAATTGGGAAACCACTGTCTCACGCTAGAATAACAGGAACTGTGAAACCATTACTCATGCTAGACTAACAGGAACTGTGAAACCACTACTCATGCTAGACTAACAGGAACTGTTAAACCACTGTCTCACGCTAGACTAACAGGAACTGGGAAACCACTACTCATACTGGACTAACAGGAACTGTGAAACCACTACTCATACCAGACTAACAGGAACTGGGAAACCACTACTCATACTAGACTAACAGGAACTGTGAAACCACTACTCATGCTAGACTAACAGGAACTAAGAAACCACTATCTCATGCTAGACTAACAGGTACGGGGAAACCACTCCTCACACTAGACTAACCGGAACTGGGAACCACTACTCACGCTAGACTAACAGGAACTGGGAAACCATCGTCTCACGCTAGACTAACAGGAACTGGGAACCACTACTCACGCTAGACTAACAGGAACTGGGAACCACTACTCACGCTAGACTAAGAGGAACTGGGAAACCATCGTCTCACGCTACACTAAAAGGAGCCTTGAAACCACTGGCTCACGCTAGACTTATTAATTTTTGCTACAAAATCAAAATTCACAAATGTTTAGTGGATTTAAAACTGCAAGTTTAGTCCGAAAATTGTGTTCTGCTTGGTTCTGCTTGGTTCTGCTTGGCTCTGCTTGGTTCTGCTTGGTTCTGCTTGGTATCCAGTTTCTTGTTTGAAACTTGTGAATTTAATAAAAAAGTTTCCCTGGACTATTTACCACCAGGGATTATAGTTATAACTGCAACTTCATGGCGGGAAAAGAATTCTCACAACATTAATTTGACAAAATATAGAAATAAAGATTTTATCTGTCCAATGGCATACGAATCATAAAAAAAATATTAGAGAGATGGTGCCGGTTTATTAATATATGTCTTTTTTCATCTTATCGCATAAAGATAAAAGAATAACAAACAATATTACAAAAACGAAAGTTTTTTCTACTTTTAGTAGAAAATACAATTTACAAATCAAGTAAAAAGTGTTTACAAAGACTGGGGGGGTGGTGTAAGAGCATATGTGTTTTTTTACAGTGCAGTGGTTTAATCTGTAAGGAAAGGTTGGGTTGGAAAGATCTATGCCACACTTGACGTACTGTCCCATTTGGCCCATAGATAAATAAATAAACATAGATAGCTTATGTACGCAAAATCACCAAGAATTGTACAGTCCACGAACTCATACTTCTAGCGGGGTGGTTTGGTGTTTTAATAGAGTGGAAAATAACTTCGGGAATGGAACTATTTGAACAACAATATTTCACTGAGCAATATATCATATTAACGAGAACTGAAGAAGGCCATGAGAAAGACTAAACTAACTTAAATTTCTCTCTATAGAACTCATGTACACCACAAGTACTCAATGACATAAGAGCAGCCAATGTTTACAACCGACCTAGTTAATCTATATAATAGGAATATCTTTAAAACATCTCTGTACATTTATATCTTTCAAGATGAAAAATGTCGTCTTATGCGCAATCTATCTTTATCTATGATTTGGCCTCATAAAGTCTGTATTTGTACTGTACAGATGGCTTTATAGCTGCTTAAAAGTCGGTCAGATACTTGAAATGAACCTGAGTTTACTGTGATGCACTGCATGGCTCTACATGCTTAAAACACCTTTAGTTGTCAATTTTATATTTAATACCTTACTGTATAGTCTGGTAGTCTTTGGTTGGAACTCTAATAATCTCGGAATTGCAGTCCTTGCCTGGTGGAGGCCTCCTTATGGTGTCCTGGTAGTCATTGAGGAGTCTTTTCTTTTTATCGCAATAGTCTCCTTCTGTTAACGTTTGTTTGATAGTCTCTGACTTGCAATAAGAGAAAAAGGCCGATTTGCACTACGTGGCTAGTTTAAACTGCGGATAATTCTTTAAATGCATAATGTCGCTTGCCAAAGCTTTCTTTTTACAAAAAAAAGGTCAAACTAACGTGGAATCTAGCAAATCCACATCGATACTCAGGAGACGCTTATCCAGACAGAAAATATTTGAAATAGTACACTTTTAAGTATTGTTTATCTTGTAAGCTTGATCTCGATATCCGATATGGGTACTTTAAATATTAGGATAAATAATTGATTCCTTTACTCTCAAACAATAAGAAGCAGGGAAATTTGAAAATTTTGCACACCCGTTAATGAGAGAAATCTTATTGGTCAGAATCCAGTATGGATTTACAAAAAGAGGGAAAAAAACGGATTAGGCAATAGAAACAAAAGTGTCCAAAGTGGATATTCAGATTAAGCGCTCTGTATTAAAGGGAGTGACCGTCTATGTAAGGTAGTTGAACTGAGTATGCAGTGTTTTGGAAAGCTTCTTTCTGATTCATTTGAGACATATTAAACTTTTTGAAGATCTGTAAATCCTGAGTTTGAGCGAAAATTCGTTCAAAACTCCTACTTTGGGGGTGGATACGTTTTCAAAATTATTTTTTTTTTAATTATTAAATAACGACGACATAAAATGTAAAAAAAGTTCTACAATAAACTACAGACGTCATGTATAGGAAAACGTAGAGAAAATAAAAATTAATCTTATCATCGAAAATGAGTAATCTTGTTCAGTTATTAGTTTCTATTTTCTCATTATTCTGGTTTCTCATTATTCACAAAGATTTTCGCAGGTTTCCTAGAATTATTATTGGAAAGACGACATTTAAAAGAATCTGAAGAAATCTGCGAATAAATTCAAAGAAAATAAGAAGTTCAATAAAATTATGAAAACGAAATAATCGATTTCAGCATTGATTTATTGACAAATTTCTTTTGATAAATATGTTTTTAGCCATCTAATTAGATTACTGTATAATTTTTACTTTATTTTTCGTTTTCGTTATTTAACAATTTAAAAAACTGTTTCTGAAAACGTATCCACCCCCAAAGTAGGAGTTTTGAACGTCGAATTTGCGCTCAAACTCAGGATTTACAGATCTTTAAAAAGTTTAATATGTCTCAAATGAATCCGAAAGAAATTTTCCACGACACTGCATACTCAGTTCAACTACCTTACATAGCCGGTCACTCCCTTTAAGGGTATCCAATTCTATAGACAGCAAAACTGGATAGTACGCCAAAATGAATAATCTCCTCTTAGAGTTGGAGTAATGTGGGTTAGTTTAGCACGAATGTCTAGATTTAAATATTATTTTAAATTGTAAAACAAAATATATATTTCCCTGATTTTTTCATGTTTTTTTATTCTTTTTTCATATTTATAGATATATCATGTTCGCCCAGTTTATTTGGTAAAATAAGGAAAGAGCTAATATCATTTTCGAAATTTTTAACATTTAGTTAACAATTCTCAAATATTTTCTTGCTAAAGTATTTTTGCACAGAGGTGTGCAAGATGATTTCTATTATTGCGTTGAGACTAGAAACTACATCCTGGGGACATGAAATGAATATTTTTCAGGCCTAGGCACTATAACAAGAACCATTATTGGTTTATGGCTATATAGGATGGGTGCAGTCAAACATTTAAGATCATCATATTCAAAACATGTTTGGTGTCTTTCAGAATATTTCTTGGGAAATTGATGGCAAAGGAATTGAGTCTTTGCCCCAAACTCTGATTTTTTAATCACTATATCTTTGGAACCAATTATTGCAGACATTAGATATTTCAAACTATGAATTCTGTTAGATCAAATAATCTGAGTTTGAAATATCAAAGGTTTACAACATCGAGTTCTAAAGATATTGAGGTTTAAATGTTTTATTTTGTTCCAAAGACTCAATTCCTTTTCTAAACGCTACACCTTTGCAACCTGAATATGATGGTGTGAACCTTTCATATTTGATCTCACAGAATTTATGTTTGACACATCTCAGTTTTACGAAATCGGGCTGCAAAGATATATGAATAAGAAAATCAGAGTTTGTGGTAAAGACTCAATTCTTTTATAAAGATCTCCCCCCCGGAGCGTACAATATGGTTTTAAAGAATAAAAAAATGTTTAGGACGGATGATGTTTCTCCGAGTACTCCTCCGGGCCTGGATATCATCTTCATTCTTCTAACCTCTCTCATCCTAGGATTACTAATCCTAACTACAATTATAGGTATGTAAACATACGGGAACTCTTTTTCTAAAACCCTCTATTTCTTCGGTCAGTGTACTGGAAATCATTGCAGTACACATCGAAAACTTAATTTTGGATGGTCACTCCATACTCTATGCCCACCAAAAAGGAACTGATTACCTTCCTCACATTTATATCTTTGCAACCTACTGTCGTAAACATGTAATATTTTAACTCTATAATTAGATCAAATATCAAAGGTTTACACCATCAGGTTGAAATGATATAGGGATTAGAAAAATATAATTAGAGGCAAGTGTTCACTTCATGAGAGAAATATTTTAATGTTTAAAACATATTACACTCAATTCATGTATATTTGAATCTAAGCTAAACAGACATTGCCAGTCATGCTTTGTACTGCCCCGCCCGGTACACCGACTACACTGGCAGACTATATACACTGCAGGGGTCAATATAATAGGCCTAGCTCTGTAGGCAGGGCCAGCTGGTACAACTATTTAGGTGTACGCGGTCTGACTTTAGGCTGTATTTGGTTAAATTTACTATCAATAAAACGGCTTTTTTACGAGTAATTATTTGTCACATCCTCATAAGCATAAGAAAAGCAATCTGTTTTGGTTTTAAGGATTTTAAACTTATTTCTTAAACGATTTTGAGAAAAAAAGTTGAAAGTCAGATTTTATGCCAAAAATATTACTTCATTTAATGTGTACAAATTATTTGATTAAGTGATACTACAGTGGTCGTTGATTAAATTAATACAATGAAGGCGACTATTTATTTATATAATTCTTTGATATCCATAACAAGAATTTTTCAAATTATAATTATAGTAAGCAAAGAGAATCTGCTGATTAACATCATCTCTTTGTTTACATGTTTATGTGTCTCTGCTGTTCGAAAGATTGGTAGAAATTAAAATTGAAATTCTTAGTCGTCTTTATTGTATTAATATATACGACGACGACTCTATGATATTTGTTCAGTATCTTTAATATATTCCTCTAAATCAAATATTATAAATAATGGAATGAAGTAAATAAATAAAAAGATAGCTACGGATGATTCAAATGGTTTATTTATCTTGAGATGGAATTACTACCATGTAACGAATCTGTGACATGCAAATTACTCACTAAAATCAACAGTACGCCATTCTTTTTCCCTTATTCCCTCTCCTCCAATCCTTATTTTCTTTGCTTTCAATTTTTTGTAATTTTGTGTATACTATATCAGCTAAATAAGTCCTGTATTGTATGTATGTAAAAACTAGTTTTAAAAAATGTTTATCACACATTAGTCGAAATAAAAGTAAAAATACAAGACTCTGATCCTAAAATCTGAACAGTCCCTTGAACTAAACAGAATATACCTGAATAGTCCCTTGAACTAAACAGAATATACCTGATTTGTTACAAAGTTTAGAAAGAAAGACCTGACAATGACAAGAGCATTCTTTTATAATTAGAAAATATAAAAAGTTATTGTGTCCAATGTAAGTATAATAAAGGTGGGTGGGGGTCCAATGTGTGTAAACTTAAGGTGGGTGGGTGTCCGATGTGAGTATACTAAAGGTGGGTGGGTGTCCAATATCTGAGTACACTAAAGGAGGGTAAGATTCCAATGTGAGTATACCAAAGGTGGGTGGGGGTCCAATGTGAGTATATTAAAGGTGGGTGGGTGTCCAATGTGAGGATTTCTGTACTTTTAGAAGTAAGGACCACTAAGAACTAGTTTTATGAAAACAAAAACAGAAATTGTAAAAAAAGGTCAAAATTTAGGTGGCAGGGTTGATGAGCAAACACGTCTTGAATGTGCGTAAAATCTAAATTAAAGGAGATAAGAGGTTAAAAAGTCACCCTAGTAATGTCCCGTAGATTTTAGTTGACAGATACATGTTGTTTAGGAAATGTATTTGTTATCGGAGCTATTCTTCTGGACCGACATCTTCAGTCTGTTGCAAACTATCTAATTCTCAGCCTAGCTGTTGCTGATCTATAAAGAAATTAAGATCACAACCGTCAAATAATTTATTAACAATCAAATTATTGCAAAATAAGTTTTATATTGTCTTCCTTTCACCAGTTCACAGAAAATATTATATCAAATCTATGATAGCGTACAATTACATGCATCCGAATATATCAATTAGACAACTACAACTACAAACAGTTGATATGGAGCTCGAAGGTTGGAGCTTATTTATCCGTTTAGAAAGAAAGCATTAATCCCTTCAAAAGGCGCTGATCTGAATCTTCTGAAGTCTGAAAGATTAAATTAACTCTTTCTGAATATCTCTTAAGGTCAGCTGACAGCTGTTTATAGTGGATTAAGCATTAAGCTAAGAGCTGATATCTATTTCTAGAAGTGTAGATTAATGCCATTTCATACAAAAGTTTCTATCTCTGACATTATATTTGTTGATCAAATACCGTTACTACAGACTCTGTAATCGTTGTGTATTGGTCATTTTGATCAACTGCGGCCCCTCTTTATAATATTTACAAAGTTGACAATTGTGAACATAAAATGAGCCACTATCCAGTATCCTCCAATATTTTTGAAGAATCTCTTTTACCCTCATTTCCATTGAAGACTAGTAAATATATTCAGATTCTTTTCATATTATGCTTTATAGTATACCCACTGCAGACAAAATTACAATATTCGGGGTGGGGGGGCAGTGATTTAGCAGTGTATAATGGAGAGAGGGGGAGCTGAGAGCGGTGGGGGGGGGGGGGAGGTAATTTTTATTCTCATAAATACAGGATCACCCACAAAGGATGAGACTGTAAAGACGACTTGAAGCTCTTCAAATACAACGATATTAAGTTTAAATCAAAACTTTGAGTTTTGTCTTTAAATGGCTTTTTTAATAATTTGTCAAAGACAGAAACAAGTTTATAGTTGCAGGGAATCGTATATATAAGGAAATAGACAGTAAAAATTCTGTACAGTCGTCTCTGAAGTCTCATCCTTTGTGGGTAACCCTGTATAAAACACAGCTAAGACAAGTTTACTGATCAAAGACGTCCCTTTGATCCAGAATGATCGATACTCTCTGCTGAGACAACCATTGTGTTTTACTTAACTGATTTAATCCTAGATTCGGCAAACCTGGAACCTGGGTCCAGCTCTATGTGATATGTGGACCTGTAGTGATGTTCTCTGCTGTACTGCGTCCATTCTTCATCTTCTAGCCATAGCTGTTGACAGGTAAATCAGTCTTCTCCTTTTATTGCTGTTGATAGGTAAATCAGTTGTCTTCCTTTTATAGAAGAAGACAGGTAAACTAGTCGTCTTACTTTTATAGATGTTGACAGGCAAATCAGTCGTCTTACTTTTATAGCTATAGACAGAAAAATAAGTCGTATTCCTTTTATAGATGTAGACAGGTAAACTAGTCGTCTTTCTTTTATAGATGTTGACAGGTAAATAAGTGGTCTTCCTTTTATAGATGTAGACAGGTAAATCAGTCTTCTCCTTTTCTCGTTTTTCTTTTATAGATGTAGACAGGTAAACTAGTCGTCTTACTTTTATAGATGTTGACAGGTAAATAAGTCGTCTTCCTTTTATAGATGTTGACAGGTAAATAAGTCTTCTTCCTTTTTATAGATACAGACAGGTAAACCAGTCGTTTTCATTTAATAGATGAAGATATGCCTTCAAAGTACTCTAACACAAAAGCTTTAACAAAATGGTGACTGATGAGTGGGTCCCCTTGAAATACAATCTATACTAACAACCATAAAAAAAGATATTTTCTGTTTCTATATAACTTACATATTAATTTTTTTTAATAAAAATCATCCCTTTCTTGTATTATTTTAACTTGAAACTGCTTCAAGATAAATTCCCACTTTTGCTAATTCTCAAGATGAATGTACATTCATTGTCACTTATTTGAAGTTCGCACTTGTCACAGCAAATGAGAAACAAAATGAATAATTCTATAAAACTGCTAAATTTTGGGATTAAATGTTTTAACTTTTATGCCAAAATCCTGTTTGAGAGTTGATCCACTGAATTTTAATTAAAAATTGAACTAACATTTAATGCATTTCTCCAGTGTTTACTCTGATATTTAAGTTTTTATATACCATACAATTAATAAATTTTTTTAATGTGGCGTGCGAAGCGAGCTGAATTCCCCCCCCCCCCCAGAAAAATATCATGATGTATATCAAATTATTGGTTTTAATTGGGTTTAATTTGCATTTTCCACTCATTTCTGGCATTTACAAACTCCATCAAAAAAAGGCTTCATTTCCTAACTTTAAGCTTTCGCCTTGTTTTTTATCCTTCATTAAAGTCATTCATTTTACATTAACTACAAGATCTGTAAAAAAACTGAATTCATTTTAAGTAACATAAAAAATAGTTTTACTCTAAGAGGAAAAAGATGTTTCTTTTTTAAATCTTTAGAAAAGCTACTCTGCAAAACTTTGAAAAAAAATTGTCTTTGTTTATATTCTAATTTCTAATTTATAAAATTTTCTTGTCGTCAATGTAATATATGTTTAAGATCTTAAATAAATCTAATATAGAAATGACATAATTATTTAGAATTAAAAATATATTCTTCATTGCCCATGCCCTTTTTTTTCTATTTAAAAAAAACATCTTTAAGTGAAATGACATTAACTATTACTTTAGAATTTAGAATCATTTAGAAAATGTTGACTTAAAACCTGAAATATCTGAACTATCTGGCATCTGCACATTTAAATTATTTTCGGCAAATTTATAAAAACTATATGATCGCCACAGCCTTCTTGGACTAAAATTTGGGATGTTTCCCTCAGCAAATATCTGAACAAAGACGGTAAAAAATGGGTATACCAGAGCCATTTTTTTCCAATTTGTAGTTTTAAAGAACCCTTTTTAAAGGACTTTTTATAAAAGGTCGGATATATATTCACATTTTACTCCAAAACCCTCGGAGCAACTCCAAAACCCTGAGAGCAGCATCCCCTCCCTCTTTGCGCACTCTGCTCACACCGGACTTACCAGAGTGAGCAATCAAACGTGAATTGGTCTTTAATTCAACAAGCATTTACTTTACGGATTTGTTTATTATATACATTGTTATTCAAAATGCATATGCCAACAAAAAAGTATTTTTAAAAAAATGCTAACAAATTATGTTTAATGGGTCAAATTGTGATCGAAAATCACAGTTTTCTGGAATATTGACAGAACCGTTAAATCCATGTGTGCTTCAAAAACAATTGAGACAATTATAGATAGATAAAGATTTAAAGGGTAGCATTGAATCAGGCCTCTCTTCCTTTTTTAAACTAGAAGGTCACGTGATACTAAAACGACTCCACATCGATCCAGCCAACCTTTATTTTGCACATGAAACGTGCTGGGTCGTCTACACACTGGGTAGCCTTAGACATACCGGTGCAAGTGAATAAACATATTATTACAATTACGCTTTAGACAGGTTTGGATCATGCAAGGATAGGACCGAGGTGTGATAAAACTTGTATATCCAATGAAATTGTATATTTTAATGTTTTTAGAATCTCACTTTAAATAATTTAGATTTTGGGCTGTAACGCATGCGCACTACATTCACTCCAGGAACACCCGAACCATTGGGTTCATGATCTCTTTGGTCTGGATCTCCAGTGTGGTGGTATCCCTGGCTCCTCTCCTTGGCTGGAAGGATGCAAACTGGGCGGAGAGGGTTGAAGCAGGGGATTGCATGGTACGGGTTCTTTTTTAATCTTTTTAAAGGGATTGTTTTCAAATTTAAAATTAAGATAAATTCCTTATTTTTGAAAATAAATTCTAACAAATATTTTAGTCTATAGTTATAGACAAAAATATGATGTTGGGTACATTTATTTCAAATTAGTGTTAGCTGACCCGCCTTCCTAAAAAATGCTAAAACTGCGCGTGAAACGTTTTTACAAAATCCTCGTGTTTAGAAAAACTTTGAGCTTTTGCGGATTTTCGTTATACCGCCAGCGTTGCTCAAACCCCCTTACAAATTGTAAAAATTCCAAAAAAAAATACAGAGAAAAAGGGACAGGAGGACATCTAGCTGATGTACCAGTTAAATTGATGACCCCTTATATATCATTTCTCAAATCTCAAATCAATGAAAAATCCCAATTATCAGTAATTTTTTTTTCTTTTTTCGGTAATGTCACAAGAAATATGGAAATTGACATATTGCAATGACTTTTCAAATACGACTGACATTTAACATAAAAATTGTAATTTAAATCAGTACATCATGTCAGGATCTAAAAAGAGAATTTGATAATCAAAACTATTTCAAACTCTAAATTGATTAAAAAAAATACTTGTCGTATTTACAAAATGGACATATATTTTTAAACATCTGTTTTCATTTAAAATTCAAAATTGTTGTATTTCTAATATTTTTGTTCAGGTGAGTCAAGACATCACTTATCAGATCTTTGCAACCAGTGCAACCTTTTTCGTTCCCTTAGTTCTTATCCTAATCCTATACTGGAGAATCTTCCTAACAGCCAGGTATAGAACCTTGTATAGTTCTTATCCTAATCCTATACTGGAGAATCTTCCTAACAGCCAGGTATTGAACCTTGTCTAGTTCTTCCCCTAATCCTATACTGGAGAATCTTCCTTACAGCCAGGTATAGAACCTTGATTAGTTCTTATCCTAATCCTATACTGCAGAATCTTCCTAACAGCCAGGTATTGAACCTTGTCTAGTTCTTATCCTAATCCTGTACTGGAGAATCTTCCTAACAGCCATGTATTGAACCTAGTTTAGTTCTTATCCTAATCCTATACTGGAGAATCCTTCCAACAGCCAGGTATTGAACCTTGTTTAGTTCTTATCCTAATCCTATACTGGAGAATCCTTCCAACAGCCAGGACATGAGATTAATTATCTCCAGATTGTTTAAAACCACTGATCCTTGAGTTTTGACCTTGATATTTATCCTAGAACAAGATTGAGGAATAGGATGGCCCAGAAGGCTAAACTACCCCAGGGTACCAGCAAGTTAGCTCCAGTTATAAGTACAGCTAGGCTGGCAACCTCACTCAAATCACAACGGGATAAGGTCAAGGTAAGGAGTTATTTCTTTTCCAGGAAAAGTGAAATGAAACATTATATTTCAAGTTATCCTCTCTTTAAAAAGGGCTGTTCCAGATTCAAATCTCTATGTGATTAATTTAGAGGTAGATATCGTCGTTTTTTCTAGTTTAAGTGTTTAATTCTCAAAATTTCCTCCATTGTTTTATAGCATGAAGTCCGTAAGGTTCTCCTTTTATTAAAAATAACTTATTTGTATAATTAAAAATCATGAATATCTCATTCATTCTTGGGCACCATTGTGAATCGAGCGTGCCCCTCTGTTTTTGGAGAGTCGCTTAAAAAGGCGTTTACATTGCCTTTATGATTAGATTATTTTTCTACCTCTGTAGTTCTGTATTCTCTACAATATGAATTCGAGCTGAAACTGCTGAAAAATAAGTTTCTTTTATTTGGCTCAATGAACATATAACGTTTATCTAAGAATAAAGAAGAAATTCTTTCCTGTAAATGCTTTTAGCTGTTAAAATCAACCATTTTTAATGATTCTTAAATTTTGGCTGATATTTCTTTTCGAATTTGCGCATTTTCAAAAACACTTAAGCTTTTCCATGGATATTTTTCAATTTTAAAATATATTAGGTCCCGCACAAAAGTGTGGCCCAATCGGTTCAGCCGTTTTGACGTTTATTGGATACAAACAAACAGACAAGCAGAAAGATCTTTAAATATCAATTATAAATCTAAGAAATGAAAATAGAGATTTTAAATTTAAAAAAATGTTTTGTAAGATTTGTTATCGCAAATGGCCGGATAAAATTACGATTGCATCAATATTGTTTATTTATTTTATTTCTATAATACTTTTTGGGGGAAAATAAAATTTTTTATTTTGCTAAGGTTTCATGTATGAGTAGTAATTTTATTATTCCACGTTTTCCTCATTTTTTTCATTTATTATTTATTTATAATTTATAGTTTTGGTGGATGGTGCTCCCTTATTCTTATTATCATGGACAATACAAAAAACTAACAAATCTGTAATTTTTTTAAATCCTACAAATAAAAAATTCCAATTTTTGAGACCGACTTTTATATTGTAATTTCTAGGTATAGGTCCCACGTATGGTTTATGGCTGACTAAGATCCCAGATCTAAAAAATTATTTAAAAGAACAAGTTTAAAATGTTTCAGTGTCATGGTTAGATAACCTACAAAAATTACATCAAAAATTATAATAAAAATACTGCTGATGAAATAGTATTGTATTCCAAAAATTATAATAAAAGTACTGCTGATGGAATAGTATTGTATTCCAAAAATTATAATAAAAGTACTGCTGATGGAATAGTATTGTGTTCCAAAAATTATAATAAAAGTACTGCTGATGGAATAGTATTGTATTCCAAAAATTATAATAAAAGTACTGCTGATGGAATAGTATTGTATTCCAAAAAAGAGAGTGGAGATAATTCTGGAATCGTTTACAAAAATTCATGTAAAGAAACTGAACTTTTGCCACAACTAAAATCATTTAATACCCATATCTTTGCAACCTGATGGTGGAAACCTTTGATATTTCAAATTGGTTCTAACATAGTTTGAAATACCAAAGGTCTACGACAAAGATTTAGGGGTTACAAAATCCGAATTTGTTGCAAAGATTGAGTTCCTTGTTCTGCGATGTTATTTAATCTATGAATAGTTGGCTTGCTTGTCTGTTTTTTTGTCTCCTGTAAACGGTAAAACGGTCAAGATTTTTGAAACGACTCACATGACCGCAGGAAAAGTTTGTGGCCGGTTAAAATTGAAATATTTTGCCGCAAAAAGTTTAAATTTTCCTAATTTTGGAATCATAAATGTAAACAAGAAAATCTGCGAAAAATAGATCAACAACATAAGTTAAGATTATAACGAGAAAGATAAATCTAGTATTAATAACATTATGCATATTTAGACGGTTATATCTGAAGATCCAAACAAACTAGAGACAACCTCGTTCTGTTCTTCCAAACTTCTAGTTGGTGAATCCACTCCGGCAAAACTTCCAAATAAATGTCCCTCTGCTGAAACCAAACCAGAGAGTATGTTGGTCTCCGACCCCTCCTCCTGCAGTCCTAGCTCCGATATACCTCCGACCCCGAGGACTAGCTGTGCCAGACATCAGAACGGAGCTACCAGGAAAGATCACGTTTATTAATATTAACTTGCAAATATCAGTTACAGAAACGTTTTTTAAGTTCTGTATGAAATAGTGACGTTTTAATCCCAAACTTGGTAAAATCAAAACTAAAATTTAAAGGGACTGTCAACGTAATTTTAAGTAACCCTCCTTTTATAGATTTACATGCCAGATTCACAATAGTACCCTGTAAACCTTTGTCCGTGCAACTATTAAGAAGATCTCTTAAAACTACATGTATATTGTTATATTTCCTTTAAATTCATAATTTTAAAGATTAATTTTGTAAATCTATCCAGTTGATAATTTCGAAACGTAATTCTTATTTTACAGAAGGTTTGACATGGCCTGTCAAACAGAGAACCTACAAAATTTAAACTCGGTTGTGGAGAAACCAAAACGAGTCAAAAAGGAGAAAAAACATGTCTCTCTAGAGACCAAGCGTGAGAAAAAAGCAGCAAAAACACTGGCCATAGTGACAGGGGCATTTATATTATGTTGGCTTCCATTCTTTGTAACAGCACTGGTTACACCCCTCTGTGAGAACTGTATTGATCACAGGGTGTTCAGTTTCTTCCTCTGGTTGGGATACTTTAACTCAACTCTCAACCCTATCATCTATACAGTCTTTAGTCCGGAGTTTAGAGCAGCGTTTAAGAAACTGCTCTGTGGTAGATCTAACCAGGAGAACTGGAGACCAAGACATCTACAGTAAACCAGGGACCGGATGGTTAGATTTGTGGTTAAAAACAAACCAAGGTTGTATAATAAGGTTGCTTACTCTCGATGCGCTCCAATGTACGGAAAATTTCGTCTCCTGAGCATAGATAGATAGAATCTGCATGCGACGTTACTGATTATAGAGGTAATACATTGGAGCGTATTGAGAACAAGCAACCTTATTATACAACCTTGAAACAAATAGTATTATTTGGTGTGATAAACATACATTGTGTAATGTGTATAGTGTTTAGTGTAGGAGTTTTTGTAACCGAAGAACATGTAATGAATACTAAACACAGAGAACACATACACAAAATACACAATTCATTGTAAAGAGCATACAGCTATTCATATATAAATAATACACAATACGGAGAACACAGCTAATCATACACAATACACAATACAGAAAACACAGCTATACATACACAATAGACAATACAGAGAACACAACTATATATACACAATACACAATACAGAGAACTGAGCTAAAACAGAAGGTTTGAACTATTTCAATGGAAAATAAAACTGTATTTGTATTTTTGTCATGTTTTATGTTAAATTGTTCAAGTTGCCAAAAATGAAATGTACCCCTCCTGAAACAAGGAAATATTATTTTAACAAGTAGTTAAACATAATAACTGTGTTAAAAAGAATTCGTGTCCAAAAATGATAAGAGACAGATAGATAGATATTTCTAAAAAATTGTTATCAATGAAAAAGAAAATATATTCAATCAAATATGATGTGGATCACCCTGTATTAAATGCTTTTCATGCTATGTGTATGTGTGTACAGTGTAGAATCAAGAGCCCAAAACTTAAGACAGAGTATCGTTATGAAAACCAGTTTCGGAACCCGGGTTTCTCAAATGGGGTTGGGCAGTTTTGTGGATATCAATATTTTTGTTATGAAATATTGTTTTATTTAGTTTCTTCATATTCTCCATTTTATCGAATCTCTTAAATCAAAATTAATAAAATATTAAGACCTCGCGTGAAGGAAACTCGGGAGTTTCGTTCAACGATACTCTTTTAAATTTCGTGCTCAGAGCAAAAAACTTAAGACATAGTATCATTATGAAACCCAGAATCGGAAACCCGGTTTCATGAATGGGGTCAAGCACTTTTGTAGATACCAATATTTATGAATCTTTTTTTTCTGATTTCTAAAATTAAAATCTATAAACCTCAAAATGGAAACTTGGGAGTTCAGTTCAACGATACTCTCTTATATTTCGGCTCTTTAATAAAACCAGTTTATTATGTACAGTAGCTTGCTGTACAACATTATATCACATTCATAGTATACAGCTAATATTTGAGACATTTTAACGGGCTGTAAGCGTATTTTAAAATGACCTTCCATCCCCGATTCACAACGGTACCCTTTAGTTCTTAATCTGAGTAAAGGGAGTGTAGTGTGAAATATTAACTATTTACGAATAATAATCGATGACTTTAGGTTGTGATATCTGAATGATTTGTTTGAAATTAAATTTTTACGATACGAGTCGTATATTGCAACTTTCTGAATTTGTATGGACGTAGCGTTTTAAACAATTTTCTCCCTATAGACGCAACAGATAGAAGTACGATTAGTAGCGAGCAAAAGCACTTATCTTTCGCCGTAAGCCTTTACCCCCATTTCTTTAAGAATGTCAGACACATCCTTTTTAATCTCTTGAAATGAGTTTTTTGTTTTCAAAAATCAAAAGTTGCTTTCTAGAATTGACAGAAAAAAAATTTACTTTCAAATGTTGGAAAACCGGTATGGACACTGTGTTGAGTTTAAACTGTTCAAAGAGTACATCTGAAGGATTTAACAGCTATTTAACACATTTACACACAGAGCTGCTCTCTCTATATACTCGCTGAACAGTTACATGTTTAAAAGATACCGTTAAAAATCGGGCATTGTCCTCTTTACATTGAGGTCAATTGAAATTATGCTTACAGTACCTTTAAGACGACTAATCAAATATAAAAATGCTCTGAAATTTAAGAGAAAAGTAGTGACTTGTTATTTCTAATTTTCACTGTATGCACACGAATGTTATAAGTGCTTGTTGTTAAATTTAAATTGGAAAACTTATTTGGAAAAAAAGTCTTTCATCGATTTCGAATCGATTGATATATTTTTATGTTGAAATAATCAATGTTCAAAAAGAAGATTTGTTGAAGTGAAATTCTTTCCTAAACAAAATTAGATTTTTTTTCGAGAATTAAATTGTTGATGAAAATTCTATGAAAGTTATTACTTACAAGGATTGGTTCACCTATAATTGAAATTTAAAAAAAAACATATAAGCGCCAAAATTCTGAAAAAGAAACATAACAATGCCAATTTTTCAGTTCAACGATCGTCATTCAAGGCCATAAAGAAGTCGATAACTTTTGTCAAAATATTCAAACGGTTTCTGATAATGTTCGTGGATTTAAAAAATATATTCCGTGGATTTTAAAGAAAAGTTACGTTTATTTTTACAACAGTTTAATAAATAGATTAAATAAATAAACGTTTAGCAGTCGGAACTTTTCTGTGAAATAACGTTAATCTTGAAAGCTTGATCTCGAAATCCGATGTGGGCACTTGCAAATTTGAGGATAAATACTTGAATTTGATCCCTTACTTAAACTTATCCCTGCAGAGATATATGAACAACACGGGATATCAAATATTCCTGCAGAGATATATGAACAACACGGGATATCAAATATTCCTGCAGAGAGATATATGAACAACACGGGATATCAAATATTCCTGCAGAGAGATATATGAACAACACGGGATATCAAATATTCCTGCAGAGATATATGAACAACACGGGATATCAAATATTCCTGCAGAGATATATGAACAACACGGGATATCAAATATTCCTGCAGAGATATATGAACAACACGGGATATCAAATAAGAATTGAAAGAATACCTAAGTCTGTATAAGATGGAGAATCATAATTGATCTAGATTTACAGCACAAAAGTTCTGAATTTAGACGAAAAATGACTACTTTTGGCGGGAAACCTTTAATTTCTTAAAAAACTATTGGAATTTTTTTTTTACCCCTGTTATGTCTATGTTATCAATGTATAAATGTACGTAAATTCATGTATATTTTATAATAAATCTAATTTGATCAAAAGTTTAAATTATTTTTATAACTTTCATTTTTTTATCGAGATGACATTTTAATATTTTGTTTCATTTGGTTGAGACACATTAAAATGGTCTCTTTGTACAATGTACATAAACGGTTTTGTGTACATAGATTCGAACTCCTATAGCTCTGAATAACCCTATGTATGTATAGAGAATTAATTATTTGGAAAATCTATATTATAATGTATGAATATATATATTATGTATGAATATGTATGAATACAATTATTCTATTCATACTTTTTCTTAATGGTAGACAAGACTACCCTTAGCTTACATCTTTTTTTTCTAATATTTATACTTGCATTTTCTAAAAAGTAATAAAATTGAAGTAAACAGGGAAAATTTAAATAATAAAGTTATAAAACTTTTGAGGACTTTGTTATTAGATTGTAAAAACTACAATAATGAAGGCGCATTACACGTTAAACCAAATCTTTATGTTCTCAATCTTAGCTTTTCTTATCAAAGAAGTATGGCAGGAAAGAACAAAACGTTTTTAATTCTAATATGTTTCTGGATAAATTAGCTTTTCTAATAAACTTGTTCGTAAATACAAACTAGAGGAGCTACGAGGTCGCACCTTCTCTTGTTCGTAAATACAAACTGGAGGAGCTACGAGGTCGCACCTTCTCTTTTGTTCGTAAATACAAACTAGAGGAGCTACGAGGTCGCACCTTCTCTTTCTGTTTAGTTTGTGGTGACTATACATCCTGTGTCACGCTTCACTAGAAAAATGAAGACGGTGAAATTTACGCGACTAAATCGGTACGACTTTGCGACATCGTAGTCCCTCTATAGTGTTTATTTATAAAAATCAAAATTCAAAATTCAGAAATTCAAAACATTTTTAATCTTCTCAATAAAACAACGTGAAAATTACTTTAATCTACCGTGATGCAAAATTACGTAAATAGATGGGAAACCCTCTAAATCTATCTGATAGGATTAGACTGAGAGACCTGAAGAATGGATCTAATCCATATAGTTTCAAACTAAAACTAATTCCAAACTTTAAATGCAGAAAATTTTTTCATAAAATTAACTTTTTTTTTCTTCATTTCCACAATCTTTGAGATATGTCGATGATAAATCTTCCATATTTGAACAGAAAACTCCACGAAAAAAATTGACATTTCCGCAATCTTTTTTTGTTCATGTCCTTTAAATTAAGAAGATAGATAGAGCCAAATAGATTCTAGTACAATAGATGGCACTGTAGAATTTGAACACTCTCAGTACAGTTGTATTCTGTCGTCACAAGTGTCAATTCAGTTTTTGTGTCCAACCAAATTATCAATAATAGTGATAATTTTAGAATAAAGTGCTTTTCTTACAGTACAGTAAGTGCAATTTTATGTGTTTTTTAGTTTCTGTTTTTACACTTTTTTATTTAATCTTGGAAAAAATTTCAACTAATGTGAGAAAATTTCGTTTTTCTTGTTATATTTGACACTTGTGACGTTGTGTATAATTGGTTCATTTCTCTGTTGCCACCTATTGTACTTGATAATCTATTTGGTTAGAGCAACACTAAAAAGTTATGAATCAGAGATGGGCGCGAAGCTTAATATTGTTAACCAAATTTACTTTTAACAGTTTTCAATATTTAAACGAGTCTTTAGTCATTTTATGAAAACTGTATGAGGTGTGTGTACAAATATCCAATATATTGTATATAGCAGAAGCTGATATCAATATATAATATAATATTAATATAATTAAGATAATAACAAACTGGATCAAAACAACATGTTTTACAAGGGCGTAACTTTTACATTAAAAACGCATTCATTGTTTTCAGTTTCACAGAATGTTTCTAAATATAAATATTTTTCTTTCGCACACTGTACACTGCAGAAGGCATTTCAAATCCACGATCCTTTTATTCAATATTGTGAAAAGTAATAGTATTTTAGGGATAACATGTAACATTATGTTAGTTATTTCGAACAATTGATCAAAAATTAATGTTTACTACCAGACAACTCGATATACTTTCGCGTGGCCTACGTTGACCGTAAGATTGAAATAAGGATTTTGGACACATTTAACTTCATTTAGTTTCGCGTGTCCAATTCTGAATTCATAAATGAAATAAGCAGGGCCCTGGACATGCTCTGGTAAGTTTCACATTTCCCTAGCAATATAGCTATAGATTTATTAATTAGAGGCCGGTCCCTTAGTCTGTGGTTCCCGTGATTACAGTGGTGCCGGTGGTTCCCTTGGTTCCCGTGATGTCTTTGGTTTCCGTGGTTGTTTTGGTTCATGTTTCAAGTGGTTCCCGTGGTTCTCGTATAGTTCCTGTGGTTCCCTTGGTTCCCATGATGTCTGTTGTTTCCGGGTTCCCTTGATTCCAGTAGTTCCCGTGGTTCCTATGGTTCCCGTGGGTCCTGTGGTTCCTGTAGTTCCCGTAGTTCGTGGTTCCTGTGGTTCTCTTGGTTCCCGTGTTTCAAGTGGTTCCCGTGGTTCCCTTGGTTCCCGTGTTTCAAGTGGTTCCCGTGTTTCCCTTGGTTCCCTGGATTCCAGTAGTTCCCGTGGTTCCCGTGGTTCCTGTGAATCCCGTGGTTCCTGTGGTGCCG